TTCAACAAGGAGGACTGGGCCACTTCTGCAGGCCCAGAAAGTTCTGGGGATCTGAAGATTCAAGATTCTCAAGAGCATCTACGCAGATATCCCCATCCCAAGGCTAGGTCCTATCCCTTCCCCACTAGGATCCTGACTTTGGCGTGGGAGACTTGCCTAGGCTGAGAATTGATCCTTCTTTGAAGTTCTGCTGCTCTTATGGTTAAGTTCTGGGCCTGGTCCTCAGCTCTCTCTGCTCTTTAGCTCCAGGAAATGAGAGTCTCTTTAAATAGAGACCCTCCTCTTCCGAGGAGACTCTCCGATTCTCACATTTTGCTTAAAATTCATGATTGATTGCCCTACACCTGTTTTCCTTTTTCAAAGCTATAAACGGTGTTTAGCAGTGGGCACTCCATTCCCAAGTCCTTATAATTACTATAGCCCCTGCTCCTCTCAGATGCCAAAGACACTGCATGAATTTATGCATCCCCTTCCACCTGTATCCCTCCCACCTCACCAGAGGTGAACGTTAGCAATTGTACTGCTACTATATGTAAGGAAGTATCAATATCAGCACCCCACCTACCACCGGTGATGAGATCCGTATTGCCCTCCAGTCAGTGGGTGATCTACCTCCAGAATCCCAGCCTTAGAATCTGTTTTCTAGGACCACTCTTATTAACCATCTTAGTTGGGTTCCTTAGGAACAGCCAGACACAGGGATTCAGGCCCGTTTGTTTTGTTCAGGGAGTGTTTTCAGGAGAAAACCTCCAAGGGACTAAGGGATGGAGGAAAAGGGGAAATGGCCAAACATGGATGTGGTCTCAGGTCAAGTCTAGTCTTGGCCGATCCAAGGGTGTGTCTGTGTGGCCTCCAAAGCATACATCACAACATAGAGTCGTCCCATATTGAGACACGAGGTCAGCCTTTGGAACTCAGTATCAGTCAGTCACTGACTCCAGGGTACCCTTAGGGGTGGGGGCATGACCTCCAGGCAAGGTGGCTCCCAGGGGCTTAGGGCAGCCCTCATTCACAATAGCTGAGGAGTGGGACCTGGGCATCGGATGCACTTTCCACCCTGCTTTAGGATGGCGGCCAGTATGGACTACATCACTGGGATTCCTCACTCTCTGGTTTCTAGTTGGGTTAAAAACACGGAAGCCCCAGCACCAGACCATGTGGAAAAAGAGAACGCGCTCAGGGTTTTCATGCACCGGGCTTCCTCCCTGTAGGATCGCCAAGGGCTGGCTGCGTCCCTTCACTAAAGTCCAGACCGCCCTGTCCACCTGACTTTGTCCTTCCAGGTTTTGGTCACCTCTCCTTTCCCTCATCCCTTCAAACCCAGGTGCAGCACTATCCCTTGTAGTTTAAGTCCTATCCACACCTTTGTTAACAATTTATTAAACACTCCTTGAATTATTTTGAGCGTGCTGTGACCCGTGGAGACCCTCGGTGCCACACCAGCAGCAACTGAGGGGATCAAGGAAGATAAGAAGTTTAGCTTTCACTGTAAGTATACTGAGAACCCATCAAAGGGTTTTAAGCAGAAGAGTGTAATGATCTGATTTTTTTTTTTAAATTCTCAATTTTGATTTCTCTCTTAGCTGCCTGTACCACATAAGCTTTTCCGCAATTGAGACCCAGGGATTTTATGCTGAGAAATTTCTCCTAGATTGTATCAACAGGTTGTGAATTGAGCAGTTTTTGGTGACAGAACACCAAAAACTCTTATTTTTCTTTCATATACTCTACTGGAAAAGCGGGATGGATTAAATCAGGTAATCAGCCAGATGTTATTTAAATAAGCTATGCTTTGAAGTTAAGGCAACAGGTGACTCATATTGAATAAGCCAAAGTGCTTAATTTTGTTTTCTATGAAATAGTTTATTTTCCTGTTTACTATGGAGGGGCCACAAATACATATCTGATGGGAACACAAAGGACTAAACTTTGCAACGCATGTAAAAACGGTTATGAAGAATCGAGAAGCTAGAGAACAGGGCACACGACATTTACATTGCTCATCTCCCACCGTACATCTTAGAACATCAAAGGCACTTATCAAATGGTTAAATAAAGAAGGGTGGAAATTAAAACAATGACACCCAAGGCTAAATAAAGTGCTTGAATTTTCTTTTTTTTTGTGAGGAAGATCAGCCCTGAGCTAACATCTGCCAATCCTCCTCTTTTTTTTGCTGAGGAAGACCGGCCCTGGGCTAACATCCGTGCCCATCTTCCTCCACTTTATATGGGATGCCGCCACAGCATGGCTTGCCAAGCGGTGCATCAGTGCGCGCCCGGGATCCGAACTGGCGAACCTCGGGCCACCGCAGCGGATCACGCTCACTTAACTGCTTGCGCCACAGGGCCGGCCCCTTGAATTTTCTCACAGTTTGATTTCTGACTTTTTATTGACTAAAATATCTGATTTATGAGATTTACTTTGTAGCCTTGAAAATTTAACAATTTGATTTCAACACCTCTTCAAATGAAAAGAACCTAATGGAATACCGTAAAATCAGAATTTCCCTATATCCAATTATTATCAAAGAGCATCAACTACCGTCTCCTGGTCAAGGCCAAAGGCCCACTATCGCGTCAATCCTGTCATCTCGGCAGTGAGGACCAGAGAAGTCACTCTCACTTAGATACTAGCACACAGCGGTCTTCGTGATTTCCCAGGCACATTCATCTAGCAAGTGGCAGGTAGACAGCATTGTGCTGGGTGCTGAGGAGACACAGGAACACGGTGCACGCTGTGCTTTCACAAGCTTACATTTATCCCCTTTAATTGGGTCAGTCATGCTTTCCTTTCAATTCCTACTGACTTGTTCCAGGCAGCTTCTTAGAATATGTCAGGAGCTGGAATAAAAAAGTTTGTGCCCCCTATCCCTTATTCTACTTTATTTCCAGAAAGAGTCAAGAGTAAGACCAACACCAAACCTATAAAGAAGGCCCAGGCCTTACACTGGTCTAAGGGGGGGTTCCATTTGTCTACAACAAGGAAAAAACAGTTGATAAATCAAAGTAGAGCACCTTTCAGCTCTTATGACCCAGGGTCTTTACATTGCTCTGTGGCAACTTCTTGCACAAATACGAGCACTGCACAGCATTCTAAAACAAACGTGTAAACGCTGTGGATTGATTCATGCTTACTCCCCGCTCACAGAAAAATAAAACTGACTCCAATCACGCTTCCCTGTGAAAACACAAAATTAGACTAATAGAACAGTCAGTTATCCTTGACTTAGTAATACTCTGACTCAATACAATTAAGGACATCTTCTAATAGCATTCATGAGAAAACAATTTCTTGCATATTTCCTAATCACAGTGTATACAATACAGATGTAGATGAAGCGTCAGTGTGGGCAACAATGCTGACAGGGCAGGTAGCATGTTTAAGGGTATACTGACGACGAGAAATTTCAATTTCTTTTTATCCTTGCCTCCTCAATCTGTACACGTATAATCATTTTCAGGATATCCACATGTACATAGAACTGAAAGATGCCAATTTTTGTTCTCAAAAATGAAGTTATAATTCTCTAATGCAGAGTGATTGCACAGGAAGACATAATAATAAGCAATCCACAGGACAGCTAACACAAGTTATTCCTGTATCTGCTGTGTACTTAATTATCCTTCCTCCATTTTAGATAATGTTCTGTTTTCAATATTGAACCTTCCTTTAATCAAGAAATCCCCAAGTTTATAAAATCTGAGGGCAATTTCCAGTGGGCTTTATCAGGACGGAGGAGCGAAAAGACCACAGGTATTACTGGGTTATAATCAGAAGAAGGAGCTAATTCATCAGTATTATAATCACGAGATTGCTGCAGGGCAATAGGCTTCAGTAGTGAAACATAATTCAGAGGGTATGTTTCGGGCAGGATAGAAACAGTGACCTGATTTCACTGGGTATCAAATAGTATTTACAAAGCTACTTGAATTTTTCTGTAGATCTTCATTGTTGTTAAATAATGATAGTTTTGATGGTGGTAAAACTTCATTTTTCAAGTGCAGGATGATCTGAGCTGAATGAGAAAAAGAATGATCAAGGGAGGGAAGGAAGGTAGGCCTGGCACCAGTCTGAACAACATATTTTTCTTCTGTTTTTGATTTTAAGAAGGCTCATGTCTCCAAGGTTACCACAGTAAAGTCATAAACATGCCAGCCATTTTAAGGGTCTCAGGATTAATCAAGACCAAGAAGGAAGAAATGATAAACCGTGAACCAAGACACCACTAGGACAAAGCTCTAACAGAGTGACATGTCCACCACCAGTGTTCTCAGCAGCAACATATTTAAATACAAAGAGAACTATATATATACACTATTGTCATATAAATATTTCCTTTATTTTTTTATGGTTAAAATTTTAAAAAATAATTTAAAAATTTTTTTATTTTTATTTTTCTTTAAAAGTAGCATACTTCATTAAATGAAACACTGGAAATATGGATTCTTTTTGAGAAATAATCTTTTTGAGAAATAATCTTGAGAAATAAATAATCAGCTTCACTGAAAGATATCATGGAGAAACCAGATTTCTATACCAACTAATGGAAAATTAACCACTGATGAATCCAGTTCCAATCCCAAATAAAGGACATGCATGCATATGTTAGGACTGATTCTGTTCACTTGATTAAAAGATTTCCAATCCTAAACTATATTAGCCACTGAAATTCTAAAAACACTAATTTTCCTGGGTATCTTATTTTGTCAAAGGATTTAGTTATTTACATTAATTGACGTTTACAAAGAGTGGAGAGACCAGAGACAACACTCCATCGTATGTGAGACCTTTTTCTCTTTTTAAATGTTCTTAGTGGGCTATAAAATTTAGCAATTATATTTAGATCTTCATAACTTGCAGCTGTCTTGAGTATCTCTTAATCTGCTTTCTCCCTTCCAATTTCTTTCCATTCTAAACAGAACATTTTTGCCTCTTAGTACTAATCCTGTAGAATTAAAAAAAAAAAATCTGTTTTATACATTTTGAATTAAAATGACCAAAGAAATAAAACCTATACAGAATCTTTTTTTTTCCTATTTAAATACTGGTATTTTCTATTAACCCTATCTCAAATTTAGAGTAATATACATATATTGCTAAAATGTCCATGTGCACAAGTTTCTGTAGAACCTCCAATTTTATTGTAAAGCTTCCTCCTCACATACATTAGAAGACTGTATTTTCACTCTGACTTGTTTAAACAACATGAGGAGGTTGGCGCATTTTAAAGTTATCAACACATTTTGTTATAAAAACAGACGGACGTTAATGGTGACCCTAGCATTTCGTTACTGACTGACTGATGATTACCTAGGCTCCTGAGTTTTTATACTCATTGTTGGCTAATTTGATACTTGATTGTACAACATGCATCTCCCAGGGGATGATCAGGGAATGCAAAAACAGCAAATTCTAAGCAGATGATTTTGCTACTTCTAGCATTTCTGGTAAAAGGGCTAGTTGAAGTTAAAGAGGAAAGCTGTTAATGAAAATAAAGTTAGGGAATGGTTACCTGTGGATTTCATTTACTCCCATTAGGACTGGTCCCTCTTTTTGGAGGCTAACTGAAAACAGACTGGACCATGACTTGTAGCTATATGTTGGTCATTTTCAAACACTCCAATGACATTCTCCAATAATTTTATTATCTCCAGTTTTATGGTGTCATACTATGCTTTTCACACTGTTTAAATTCCCCATTTCCATAATCCAAATGCCTAAAAATTACTACACATTCCCTTATACAGTCAAAAATAGGTTTACTGGAATGTTTTCAGTTATAGCTGAAGGCAGCAACATTTCCAACATTTAGTTTTTGTTAAACCCATAAACATGTGGAAATTGCTTGCAAAGCAATTGTAATGTGAGAAGAATCTTGCAAATACTGACGGAATGGTTATGCATCTCTTTAAACATAACGATTTGGTGGCGCTCTACACAGGCTTCCTGACCACCCGCCCGACCCCCACCTTGACGCAACAACGCAAGTCCTTATGCCACTAAAACAACAGTAGGAAATATCGTTATCAGTGCTTAACTATATACACAAATAATGAACAGGCAAGTATCTAGTTTCAAATTAGATCCTTGGAATATGGCAAAATAGAGGCTGGTTATCTTTGCCTTAAACATAATTATTAAAAGCACATTTTGTTAGAAGGGAAGAAGATAATTGGACATTCTCAGTGTTCCAATTTGAAGTGATACTTGCCTCAGTTGCTTGAAAAAAGAAGTTTTGAAAGTTATATACATAGGTTTCATTTAAATTATGCAGCAATCTTTTATTATTATTGTCCCAGATTTTGTTTAATGAAGATCTCTGTCATCAAATCAAGTACGGTATTTCACAACTATAAGAACTGCAAGAGAAAAAAATGAAAAAGGAACATAAAAATCAGATTCATATGCTGTGTTAGAAACAATATTCCTAAATGTAGCTGTGTCCACTTTTGTAAACAGGTAATGAGGACTGAACTTTTATCTGAGATGACAGACAACAAATGGGAATGGAGAAGTGAAAATATCATAAAACAACCTAAATGTCTAACACTGGCATTTTGATGGAATAGATTATGTCATAACCACAGCATACAGCTGCTAAAATATTTTTAAAATATTTAACATGGGAAAATATTTACAATATATTTATTAGAAAGTGTATATGATCTTAGTTTTTGAAAAACATGTTTATATATTAATAGGAAAAGACCTGAAGTATATATAATAGTTATAACAGTAGTTATCTCTGTGTGGTAAGATTACAGTTGAATTTTATTTGCTTCTTTATGCTATTCCACATTTTCCAAATTGTCCACCATATATATGGTTGATTCTTGGTATTTGCAGTAGTTATGTTCTATAAAGTCACCACAAACGTTGAATTAGTGAATACTAGTCATGCTCCTAGGGGAAATACAGGGTTAAATTCCTGCGTGCCTCTGGCTACAGCATTTTTGTCAACCAATCAATACATTATCTTGTTTTATATGAGTTTCTGTTTAGAGAGACCTTATTTAATATATATCATTGATTCATTAACATTGAACTCACAGCCAACAGCACTATAATTCATGCCTAAATGAAGTTTATCTAACATGTATATTCTCCGTAAGGCACGTCACAGCCTTCTTGCACTTCGCGACACCAGACACACTTCCACACTGCATTTGGGGGCCATTTTAAACAGTGAAATCCCCAACAAAATGCACAAAAATGTGAGAAACATGGCACTAAATATACTTTGAAGGACACTTGTTTACTTTATGAGAGCAGAAACTAGAAGGCAGAGCATGGTCCCGTCAGACATCAGCTGGGAACGTGCGCATCAGGAGAGCAAATTTTTCACTGCTCTGCACACATCTGCCAATGACTGCGAAAGCACCTCAGGTACTGATTGTGTGGTTATACAGCAATGTCAGCCACCAGGTGAATTCGCAAACATAGAATCCACAGATATTGAGGATCAATTCTATTTCTTTGTAACAAAACTTTTTTCTCTTTTAAAAGATTTTGAGTATCGCCATGGAATTTTTCAAATGATTATTTTGAGACACTTTCCAAATCTTCATAAAAGCCCTATAAACATAGGTAAAGAGGCCTTGGAGAAAAGGAGATATTAAAAATGTTCTGACTTTAAAAATTAAGGAAAAAAGGAAGGACAAGAGTTATGCTTTAATGACTGAAATCAAGCTCAAATCTAAAACAAAAACAAAACAAAAAACAAAACAAATTGTCATCTGGAGAATTTATCTGGATTTGTCCTTCAAATACAATATTATGAAACACAAGCTACCATACCTGAAAGTTAATAATAAATAAAAAATGAGTATTATGATCTTGGGTGTAATAACCACATTTGGCCTCAATAAATCATTTAGCTTTGCATTTGTGGGGTGGGGATGGGGGGCTGGACAGGAGTTCTCTTTGAGAATCTGATAAAGATAGAGACTCTCTAGCCATAAAAATGTACATACGCATCTTCACATAAAACCTTACATACAATTTAAGAGCACTTTCAGAGAGCTATAGATTCTAAGTTAAGAGCTCCTGACTCGGGTCAGAAGTCGTTACTCAATCCTGACATTAGTCACAGTAGGTCAACTGAAAATAAATTAAAAAGGGAATTAAAATGAACTCCAAAACAAAGGATACCCCCTACATTAGTAATCCAGTAAATACTTACTGATAATCACTAACAAAAGGATAACAGCAACCAAAGCCATGATGGCTTTTATCTACAACACACAAAAAGGCATAAGAAACATATTAATGTTTGACTTGTTAATAAAGGCAAGACTATCTGTTGTGCTATTTATTCACATTATACTAATTCATCAACGAACAGGCTCATCCCTGGAAAGGTTTTCAAATTTTTTCTCATATGAACTTGCTGGCTATTTGTATCTTTTTATAAATAATCAGAATTCCCCAAATTTGAGGGTTTTTGCTTGCCTGGATTTTATGGTTCAAGGCTGTACTGCACAGTCAACAATAATAATCAAAGTCTTCCTGGGCCTGGACTTTTTATCTACGATTTCTCATGCTTATTTCTAATAAGAGACCAGGAAAAGTACAATATTTTAGCAACTCTGTTCAGAAGTGTCAGGGTATGATGAACAACATAGGCATCCAGTACAAATGGTTCAATATATATAGAATAAGGCAGCCTTTTTTATAGCTCTTATTGTCAAAGCATATGAGAGTTCTGTTAGTTTTTGATCCCCTTACTTCCTTCTTGGCATTTTTATCTCTACTTTGAGGAATATAATTTAGATTCTTCATGAATAACCTCATTTAACCTAAGTTAAATAATAATAATATTGAATTATTGAAAGAATAACCTAAGAGCATTCTGTGTGTTAGTTTCAAAGTTGAGAGGAGAAACCTTAAGGTTAGTCCTTTGTCAGATGCTTAATATTTTAAGCTCCCATCATCTCTCTTTATAAAATTGTCACATTCTTCATTTAATCCTAAAATGCATAAACTATAAGTTGATTTGATTTTCCTGATGAATTCAAATAAAGTCTTGTTTTCATCAAATATTTTTTATAGATAATTTATTCAAGATTGTTCATTCAGAAAAAAAGATACCCAGTTATTATAAACACATGAAACATTCCGATGAGTATCACAAATAGCAACCAGAAGTAGCTAATGAAATGTTTCTAAAATAGAACCACTGGTGTGAGTTTAGTGGCATTACATTCACGACAAGAATAAAGTGACCAAGAGAATACATGGAAGCTTTGCAATTTGGACACCAGGTGCCTATCAAAATTACTAATTATGATAACCAAAAAATGTAGAAACAGACTCAGACCAGATGAATATAAGAGGTACATTTTCAGTAGGTGTCTGGGTCCATATTGTACTAAAGTACTTTGGTGAAAAAGTGATCCAGAGAATATATGGAAGCTTTGCATCTTTTTTTAACCTGAAAACATTTTTAAAGTAATTTAGAATTTTACAGTAGTTTTTCAACTTTACCCAAAACATAACATTAATTTGCCCTGTTAATTTGTGCTAGGCTTAACATTTAGAAGATTTAAATGGAAATATCAATATTAATTTTAAAACACTTCGATAAATAAGAGTTTTCTTCCTTGGGTTTCTAACACAGGCCAGGAAATGTTCACAAATCAAAATGCCAGTAATGCATTCATGCATGTCCAAGTGCTCTTCTTCCAAACGACATGGACAAAATCTGTTTATCATTTAACATATAACAGCCTCAGAGCCTCCTAGATACTTAAGAGAGGTGTCAGTAATTGTCCCTCCCCACCCACTGGATAATTTAGTTCACTTATTTATTTTTAAGTCAGGTTTATTGAGATATACTTTACATAGGATAAAATTCACCCTTTTAAAGTTCATTTTGATGGGTTTTGACAAATACATATAGTTGTCAACCACCACCATCACAGTCAAATATAAGATATTTCCATCACTCCCTAAAGTTCCCTCATGTCCTGTTGTAGCCAATCTCCCCCCTCTATCTTTACCCTTTCTGATCTGAACCCTGCCAAAGTACAAAAGGAAAATCTTTAGATATGTCTAAAAAAAGCTAGGCAAAACGTACATTACGATCTTCTTTTTGTAGCTACCTGAATGGGTCATGTGTGCATAGGGGGAGAAGAAGTGAATGGCTCATGGACCTTTTGTTCTTCCAAACTAGTCTATAGAACAGAAAATTTCTATAGAAATAGAAAATTCAAAGAAAATAGAAAATTTATTCTTTAAAGAATAAAGAATTTAAAATAGCAAGTTTAAATCCTAGACAAGGGGGGCAAGGAAACACGTTTCTCTCCTAAGTTCTATTTCTGAAAGTAAGAGGATTCAACAGGTACAAAGACAAAAATAAGTAAATCCAAGGCAACTGTTGGAAGAAACCCTTAGCGTATGTCAAAGTCAAGTTTAGAAAGTTATACTAAACTTGAAAATGAGAGATTAAAAACAATGAGTTTACGTCTAAGATTTTTAACAAAGCCAAAAAGGATACACAGAACCAGGAGAAAAAAGAAAAGATTTGTTCACATGACATGAAATTTGCTACAAAATCTTAAAAGAAACCTTTTCTGTTTCATGATTAGTAGCCATACTTGATTTAAGAAGCAAATTCATTTCTACAAAATATTTTGCAGGGATATATTAGTATATAACGATTCTCATTTTTTTCCCTGTTAAAAATTTCTGTGGAATAATGAGGGAGAGTGGGGTTTTTTTTCTTAGCCCCATTTGCCATAATGGATTTTGACATATAAACTGCTTTTATGTTTTTCCTCTTTCAACAGAAAATTCTATTTTTCTTTAGCTTCCATCCTATCTTTTTCATATCTCTATGTAATGCTATAGGTTGCTCCAAAAAGGTACTAATAGTAAATTATGAGTAAAATTAACATTTCTTACAAGATAAGTCTAGAGGTAGCTAAATTATTCATAAAATGTGGATTATTTTCTATGAAGAAAACATCCTTTTAGGCATTGCTTGATTACTTTAGTTATTTCTGTCCCAAAAGCTATTAATTAATTCAACAAATATTTACTGAGTTCCTACCACGTCCCAGGTTCAGGAAATGCAATAAGCAGGACAGTCGGAGTCCTGTCCCCACAGAGCTTATAATCTAGAGGCTCTTTCTCTTCACGTCTTTGACTACCACTGAAGGTGCTGACCAACCTACCCAATATCTTCTCACTTACTTTGCATCCACGCCACCACATTTGCCTTCGAAGTTGTTTGGATCTGTTGCTAAAAGCAGTTGCATTATCCGATAAGCTTTCTATATCACATAGAGGATGGAGAGAAGGATTAAACGACATAACAGGATTCTTTTATCTAGTCACACAAAGACAAGAAAATATTAATTTCTACTTCTGCAAACTTATTCCCTTTTAAGCATGAAAACAATATCCTCCCTTTCCTCCACCCACAAACTCTGGCATTCTGTACTATAAAAAAAAAAAAAAGAAAAGAAAAAAGAAAAAAATGGCTTCAGGTCAGTTTGCTCAATCCAATTTTACAATAAGATTAAGAGAGTCTCCCCAGGGCCTCAATGCTTTCAAACAAACTTATGAATTCTGGTAAGAAAATACTCTTTAAAAATTCAAATACTTGGCACATCTATAGAAAAAATTTACAAGTGGAGAAGGTTAGATTCTTAGGAGATACCAAAAGTGACTAATTTTGAAGCAAAACAATATGAATTTTAAAAGGGGTTAAATAAGTTTTTTGGTTAAACAAGTCTGTCCAGGACTAATCAGATATTCAGTCACTCATTATTTAAACAATATTTGACCACCTAATGGGTACCAAGAACTGTTACAAGAACAGAGACTAACATCTGTCAGTGAAGAAAGGTTACTAAGCTACCACACAAAGCATAAGATGAAAATATCAGATAAGTTTAAAATAAGTGCTGAAAAGAAGTGATTAGACATCTCCTCCTTGAGATCATAAGAAATACAAAGCACATCAACATAAAAGGACAAAAGAAGAAATAACTCTAACTCTTTAACAATGAATTTTATTTATTTATTTATTTCAAGGATTTTGATTTTTTGTTGTTGTTGTTGTTGAGGAAGATTTGCCCTGAGATAACATCTGTTGCCAATCTTCCTCTTTTTTTGCTTGAGGAAGATTCACCCTGAGCTAACATCTGTGCCAATCTTCCTCTCTATTTCCTATGTGGGTCACCATCACAGGATGGCTGACAAGTGGTGTAGGTCCGTGCCCAGGATCTGAACTCGTGAACCTGGGCCACCGAAGTGGAGTGTGCCAAACTTTAACCACTATGCCACAGGGCCCGCCCCAACAATGAATTTTAAAATTTTCCTTTCTCAACTGATCAATTAAAGAAATAATGAATGAATTAACAAGATGATTCAAAGCAAAAGCAGCTAAAGTTAAAACATTAAAATCATAAAGTTAAGAACCGAATACCATTTTCCTAAGTCAAGATTCCTGAACTTGGGCTAGAAAAATCATAGAAGTAAACTATCAAAACATAGATTAATAATACCAAGAAATGTGAAGTATCTGTACCTGATTTGTCCTGTAGTTCATCTAGTCTCTCCCCTCTTTCAATTACCTTTGTAATATTTTCTTGCATGACATCAATAACTTCATCCACCTGATTCTGAACACTAGTTTAAAAAAAAAATTAAAAATGATTTATTCTTCTTTTGAGAATTTTACAATTTTTGAAACTTTCATTAGACATGATAGAAAATAGCAAGTTTTCAGAGAATTATTCAACTATAAAATGTTTAAGTTTAAGGCTTTGTAGCAATGTTCTTCCATTTGTGGGCTTGAGTACTCAGGGAAGTAAAGATAACATGATATAAATAAAAGCAATATTTAACTTAGAGATAGTTTATTTTTAGCCCTGTTTCTGCAAATTAAATGTCCTTTTGAAATGTTCAGTAACTGCAGAATTTAGTCCAATAGCTTGACTCTAATCATCAGTTTCATTTTCTTCTCAATAGGCTGTTGAGGCATCACAGACACCCAGCTACAACACTGATGCTCAGTGGGTACAACTCTTCACTGCTCATCAGTTTTCTCTTAAACAAACAGTGTTTAAGACAACTGGCAACATCTGGGAAAGTTCTGAAGCACCCACAAGGGAGCAAACAGGAAAAATTTTTTGTTGTACTTCAAAATGAAAATATGATTTCCTCCTTTATATTGGGCGATGAGGGCCTGTTCTAACCAAATTTCAGACGGTTCGATGAAGATTTAATCTAAATTCGAAAATTTAATAATTGGTTCTCAGCTGCCTGCTCTCACTCAGGAGTTACCTCCAGAGTGCACACAGAAATGTTTAATTATTTTAAGTGTCTAGTTTTCCTCTGTTGCTCCCATCATTACACAAAAAATTACCTTAAATTAATTTAGGAAATAAGTCATGCCAGTGACATATTTGAAAGAAGAAATAAAGTGAACTCATGGTTCTTATAAATCAACAACTGTTTAAAATGCACCATATAACTACCAACTATATAAATATTAAGTATATATATGTTTTAAATAAATAAGGATATGCAATTGTTCTTTCCAGGTGAAGAAGTATATCAGTTACCACTTAGAAAGCTTTTTAAAAATTTTCAAAATACACATGTCCTCTCTGCCCTCTACTCTTACACTATCTCCCAAACTAACCCAGTGAGCTGGGGGTGAGGCATGGACATGGATAATTTTGAAAAAGAGTTCTAGCCCTTCCCTATTTTGGAGCTGTATCTTCAAAAAGTTTGCTTTAAAAACAAAATGAAGGCCCATTTAGACATAGGTGGGTTCAGAAGTATTCTCAGATTCAAGTACCAATTACTACGTTGAGGATAGTCACCTCCCTCCCACATTAAAAGCATTATGTATACCCAGTGATTATCCACACAGGGTTCATCATAGCTCCCTAGAGTTCTCTGCCTCCCACATGATATTCTACTAAAGGATTTAAGACTGAAGCACAACCAAGCTGGGACATGCAGAATTCTCTGCTGTCCAAACAGACCTGAAAGAGCCCCTGAATCCCTAAGATGTCTTGTTGCAACTCCTAATCACGTAAGCAGAGAGCTAAAGAAGTTCATCTTACATAATAACAATGGCACAATATTTAAGCAACTAATCAATTTATTCAATAAATAGCTAATGAGAGCTTACTACGTACTGTTCTATGCACTGGGAAAACAATACTGAACAAAACAGACAATAATTCCAGCTCTCATGGAACTTATGTTTGAATGTGCAATGAATGTACTGCATTAACCTTGTGAAACAGCCTGTCTTTATCCCATTACTCTGTTTTATTTACAGCATTTAACACTAAGTGAAAGTATTTATTTAGTTACATGCTTATTTCCTGCTCTCCCCACTGGAAGGTAAGCTTGACCAACACAGAGACCTTGATTATTCTGTTCACTTTTGTAGCCCCAGTACCTGCAACAGTGCTTGGGGCAGGGTATGCATTTAATAAATATCTGCGGAATAAGTGGACAATCTGGGTATAAGTCCTGCAAAGCACACCCAGCCTGAGACAGAGATATAAGGCAGTGAATGTAGAGGTCTCCCTTTAACTAAAATGGAAGCAGAGCTATTGTTCATCAAGGACCCATCTTGAAATTCCCAAGTAGTCATTTTTCGTCATATGCAAGAGATGATCACAACCTACGGTAAGGTGGTATAGCAGGGTGGGGATGGACAAAATGTACTGCAGCTCCTACACATGACCAGATTATAGCTACGAGGAATATTAATACACCTATACTACATATGATTTTACAACAAAACAAAATACTAAAGAAACAGTTATGGTCCCAGAATCCCTACAGGCAAAATACTCCATGGATAAAGGCAGATTAAGTGGAACAGAACCCACATAATTCCAGATTAATTCATACTAGATTATCATAAACCTAGGGGTATTACCCCAACAACATGACACACATGTAATAAATCTCTATGGCTACTGCAAACCACCAAATGCTTTAATTTTGCTACAAAGTGATTAGTAAACTATTGTTACTTTCTCCTTCGCATATTACTATCCACTGGTGTAACACTCTTAATCCAGCTACTGATAACCCTTACTCGATGGAAAATCTCATGATTGTGTTTTTTATATTTCAAGATGTTTTCATGCTCAGAATACAACTTTTATAGAAGAAAATTACCCACTTATTTACTTCAATATGAAGGATTATTTTTTAAAAAACAAGTGATAACATATTTCCCCGTGGTCTTTCACATTTTCATACCAGTTACAATACTCTGATTTCTATTTGTATTTTATGTTGGTCTTATCCTCATTATTACACTGTAAATGCCTTAAAAGCAGAGACTGTCCCACTCATCTTTTTATTTCTCAGGTTATGTGAAATGTGCCTGGTAGAAAATAGGCATTCAACAAATATTTTCTGATCTGAATTAAATATTTCATTCATTCAAAAAACATTTATTAAGGAGTTATCATTATGCTATTCATTGAGGATACCAATGTGAAGGTCATGAGCTCCATCTTTAGAAAGATTACAGTCTAGGGGAAAAACTAGTATCCACGATTATACTACCTTGTGTTAAGTGCCATAATGGGAGGAAACCCATGGTATCAGTCATGCAGCCTAGATGAATCCAGCCTGGACCAGAGATGGCATCAAGACCTGGTGCTGAGTCTTGAGGGTAAAGCTTAGAGTGAACTGGGCAGAGTAAAGAAGGTGGTGGAGGGTGGAAAAGTTCTAGGCTGAGGCAATATATGTAAGATTTGGGGATATTTCAGGAACCAAGTGATTAACTGGATATGGGTGAAGGTGTTGGAGCAAGAAAAGAGTAGAGGACTTCTAGATTTATAATTTGAGCAACTGAGAGGTAGTAGATGATGGCCATTAACTGAAATAGAAAATTAAGAACTCAAAGGAAAAGCAAGTTTGTGAAGGAGAAGGTGGAGATTTATATAACTTCCATTTAAAGAACAGTCATATGGTAGAAGAAAGGACATGAGAGAGAACATGCACAGGAAAAGATACAGACATGCAGAGAGGAAAAGACATTTCAGCATTTCTTAAATCCTCCTTAGAGTCTGACAGCACTCATGTTCCTGAAATGTCTCTACTCTGATTATCAACAGGGAAGCTGCAGGGTGTTGTGTAGAGAGTCCCAGCTCTGTATTCACAGAGACCTGGGTTTGCAATCCAGCTTTATCACTTACTATGTATGTGGCTTTGCAAGTCACTTTGCAAGCCTCTTGGAGCCTCATATTTTCTCACCTTTAAAATGAAGATGATAATCTCTCACTTGTGAGAATTAGATGTGACAGTGTTTTTAAACACTTAGCACAGTTCCCAAAGCTTAGCATGTGCTTAATGTCAATGTGCTTCCATTAAAAAAAAAAAAAAAAATACATGCTCTGAAACAAAGACACTCATCCCTTATTTTGTAAAGAAAATATTTATTTTCATAGTTAACACCTCCATCTTGTGGCCTTTTAAGGTACTGTTGACAAAAGAAGTTTTAAAGTTATGTCATCTTTTTGCAACTATATATATACATATATATTGCTGTTACATCACAGAACATTCCTTGGGGGGCCTTATAAAGTTAAACTGGTTGAACCAAGACTTCAGTTAGGAGATTTCCTACCCCTAGCAGAGAATGTCTACAATTCACTAGAGCAGCATTTATGATGCTATTATTTAATTTAAAAGCAAAGGAAACATCCCAAAGAGAATCATAAATTTTATATAAGCATGTGAATATTGAAAATCTTTTCCAAAAAAATCTTCCCTAAAAAGTGATTTTGGGTACTTTTTGTAGGATTAATCTGTTATCAACATGCCAATCAAATCCAAACAAAGCAACAATGCTGCTGATCCATGCAGTCAAAAAATACCTGTACGGAAATGTTACAGCAAATTAAGTTGTGATAACAGACCTTAAAGAAACTCACCAGTGCTAGCAATTCTGGTACCTAAACTAATGCCGGGGATTTGTCTCCGGGCAAGCTGCGTGGCAGGCTGTGCTCCGCCATCTTGGGCACTCACACTTGAGTCATACCCTGGTCAGATAAGCATTCACGAGGTTGTGCCAACAAGGTTTAATCTGTGTGTTCTGATGATTGACTACCTTCTAAGTCTGGCAAGCCTTCAGCTCTAGAGCAAAAACCATTATACTTACTCAATAATCCCTTACTGTTAAATTCTGTGATCACCAAAGTTACTGTCCTAATTTAATATGTACATATACATATTCATGTGTGTGTGTGCTTGGCACTTACTAACATACATATATACTCTGCAATGTCCCCTCTGTGGAACTGGCAGTGGTTTTGCGGTTCAGCTGGAAAATCATACTCAAAAGACTCATTAGGCCATAGTCAATACTAGGCTCACTCTGCAGAAGGATATCAGACAGGAAAGACAGCATACTGGCAGGACAAAAAAGAGGTGCGTCATCAGTGGAGTCCACCTCTCCAGTGGCAACTTAGGTATAAGAGAACAAGACCGTGTCTATGTGGGTGGATACAGAAGTCACTCTGGCTCAGTGTAGGGGAATGGCTCTGCCATGGCGTCCTGGCAACCTTGAATGCTTTGTGATCCTCCCAGAACATGAGAGGATGAGTGGCTTGTGAGGCCATTTCCCACTCACTTTCCTTTCTCCCCTAGGAGACTATCACGAGACAGCTTCTTATCCCCTCCCAGGTTCTGATGACATATGAGGCTTTCTGCAGGGTATGTCTGCAGACTATAAAACCACTTAGCTGCAGTCTAGAATTGGCTCCTTTGTAACAGGTATACCCCTACTCGTATTGCAGCCACTGGGCCCCTTTTGTTTTGGTATCATCATTTTTGGCATGTAGGACAAGAACCCAGGCAGCTGGCATCTCTGGCTACTCTTCCTTTTACTGTCTATGTAAGTAATAAACTGTGTGAACCTAAGTGGCTCATTGTCTCTTTATTGGCCGAGTCAGAGACTCCCTCTTCTGCTGGCCTTGAAGAAGCAAGTACATGAGTTCTACAGCTGCAAGGAAATGAATTCTGTCAACAGCTACCTGAGCTTGGTCAGGAGCTTCAAATAAGATTGCAGCCCTGGCGACACCTTGATTTCAGGCTTGTAAGACCCTGTGCAGAGGGTCCACCTAAGCAGTGAATGAACTGTGACTCATGGAAAATGTGAGAGGATAAATGTGTTGTTTTAAGCTGCTAAATTCAGAGTAATTTGTTATGCAGCAGAAAATGAAAACATCCTGTTTAGTACTCAAACCAATTTGTTGGTACCTTGGTTCTGTATTTCAGAATCCATTAGCTAGGATTAAGCTACGTGTGAACATATTTCTTCATACCAACAGCTACTCAGCTAAAGCCCAAGTCTCTCACCAATAACTTGATACCCCTTACAGTAACCTTCCCACTATGTGCCATCTACATCCATAATTACGGAAGCAACTATCCCTCCTTAGATCCTGAACCCAGGCCATTCTGTTTATCTTCCATAGTTAGTCTTTATAGCTAACTATGGGATACTTTACTGCTCCATCTACTCCTCCACACTTGCCAGGACTCATATCCTTCTAACATTAGATGCATTCACTACAGCATTATCCATCATCTACCACCAACAATATATACAGCAAAAGCTTTAAACCTAGAATTAATTAGCCATAAAACTTAGATCAATATATGAATTAGGATAAGTAATAGATATGAAAAAAGCCTGTAAGTGTATAAAAAAGATACTGTATTCAAAAAACTGAATCTATTGTATTACTTTATCATTCTGAAAATGGGAATCAAGCTATAGATTTAAAACCAAAATAGACCTTGAGATTATGCTAAATAAACGGATTTGACATAAGGTAATCAAGTTAAGAAAAATCAACAACCAGGAATTGCATTTCCTTAGCTGTAATTCAGAGGTGGCTTTGTGAAAATAAAAAGAATTACTGGGTTTTTACAACTCAGTAGTTATATTTAGTCTACGTCAGGGCTCAGCAAATTTTTCTGTAAAGGGCCACATAGAAATAGATAGTTTAGATTTTGTGAGCCATAAGGTCTCTGTCACAACTACTCAAATCTACTACTGTAGTCCAAAAGCAGCCATAGATGATAAGAAAACAAACAGGCATGGCTGTGTTCCAATAAAACTTTATTTACAAAAACAGGCAGCAGCCAGATTTGGCTCATACCCCTGGTCCACACAGAAATATGATAATCATTGAAACAAATGAGTATCACAGGAACTTACTGCTTAATTTTATCATTTCTAGGTCCAAATCTTGGTCCAGATGGTCCCCTTCTGAAAACAAAATACCAAGTACATATTAATAATGAGAGCATTATAAAATAAAAACAGAAAACACATACACATACTCAAGCTGAATTCTAAACATGGATTAGTCGTTTTTCATAAGGAACCACATTTCACTGTTATTGTTGGAACTGAATGATATACAATCATGTCTGAGCTTCACTGGTACTTACTGCTGGCCACAATTAACCTAATTCTTCTGAATGTTACAAGAGTTTATATAATATTAAACTCTGAAATACCATAACAAATAAAGTGCCAGTGACTATGAATAGCTTTAGATCAATTATAGAACACTAAAAGTACAATTCATCTTGAATTTAGGCTATAATGAAATGCTGATTGCCAGGGATGGATATAGAGAAAAATCCATAACACTACAATTTTTTAAGTATCGGACGATTTGCCCTGAACTAACATCTGTGCCAATCTTCTTCTATTTTTGTCTGTGGGTCACTGCCACAGCATGGCCGCCGCCAAGTGGTAAAGGTCTGTGCCCAGGAACTGAATCCAGGCCGCCAAAGCAGAGTGTGTTGAACTTAACCACTAGGCCACGGGGCTGGCCCCTTAAGTACATTTTTCGATTACTCATCTTAAACTTAGCAATATAGATAAAGGGAAATGCAAGAGTCTACGAAAACATCAACATTTCTCAAATTATTATTTCTCTATTATAGACGAGTGTTGTATCACTTTAACCAAGCTATTTTAATATTCCGGAAATAAAAACTTTTAGATATTTTAAGTAATTATCATTATTCTGATGATAGAGAATAAAGTATAAACCACAAAACTCAAAAGAAAATAGGTTCTGTACCAATTAAACACTAACTCTCCATTCCTCCCTCCTCCCAATCCCTGGCAACCTCCATTCTACTTTATGTCTCTACGAATTTCACTACTATAGGTATCACTACTATAGGTATCTTGTATAAGTGGAATCATGTAAAATTTATCCTTTTGTGACCAGCTTCTTTCACTTAGCACGATGTCTTCAAGATTCATCCATGTTGTAACATGAGTCAGAATTTTCTTCATTTTTAAGACTGAGTAATATTCCATTGTATGTACATATCACATTTTGTTTATCCATTCGTCTGTTCATGGACACTTGGGTTGCTTACACCTTTTGGCTATTGTGAATATTACTCCTATGAACATGGATGTTGATTAATTTTTAAATATTATTTTAAGAACTTTATTTGGTTTCCTTTCAGCACACAGAACCACAGTGTGTAGAAGCTGCATCCTGAACAAGTAAGCTGGTTTTGCTGTCGGGCCCTTTGGAAGATGTATAGCATTATTTGGGAGTGAACTTTCAGCGGCACGTTGCTGGTCTGAAGAGTTAGTGTTTCTTACAAGGGTATCTAACTTACATTCAGGTAATCACTTATTTAACCAAAGTATCTGGCCTTCTTTTCAATATTGAGTTCCTTCTTGACAGGTAGCTATTGGTCTAGTTTAAGGCTTCTCACCATAATTGGCACTGTGAGCAGTTAGCTTTGTGACTCTATGCAAATCCTGTCACCTGTAGGAAATTATCTTTCCACTTCATCTGACCTTCCTGCCAAAAACGATACTATTTCTTGTTATTGGATTTGCTTTCTATCCTGTAGGCTCTTTTGTCCATTGCTTCATGGCTGTCAATTACTTTTTATAAACTGGTTTTATTTGAGGGAAAAAGAAGCCTCTAAAAAAAACTTCATAACATTATAACAAAGAGGGAGGTCAATGCTTCCTCTCAGGCATATCCCTCTACATCCATCTCCGGAGAAAACTCCTGCAACAATATGTCATCCTTCCTGAGTTTGCAAAGATAAACCTAGGCCGGTATGACAGCCCCTTCTAATCATAACTGCAAAGGACTGATCAGGTCAATTAACTTTGACAAAGTATTAAGGCAATTCAATGGGGAAAGGATAATCTTTTCATCAAATAGTGGGGGAACAACTGGATACCCATATGCCAAAAAAAAAAAAAATCCTTTACCCTTACCTCAACCATATATAAAAATTAACTTTAGATTATAGACCTAAATGTAAAAGCCAAAACTATAAAACTCCTAGAAGGAAAACACAGGAGAAAATCTTAGTGACCTTGGGTTTGGCAAAGGTTTCTTAAATAAGCAAAAACAACAAAAGAAAAAAAATTTAATAAACTGATTTCATCAAAATCAAAACTTGTATCTTCAAAAGATACTGTTATGAAAATGGAAAGATGAAGTTACATACTGGGAGTAAATACTTTTAAAACATATCTGACAAAAACTTGTATCTTGAATACATAAAAAACTCTTACAACTTAAGAAGAAAAATTTAGAATTGCACAAAAGATTTTAACATGTACTTCACCAAAGAAGATATGAGGAGGGCAAATACAAAAAAAGACATTCAACGTGATTTGTCATTAGGGAAAGGCAAATTAAAATCATGAGATAGCACTACACACCCACAAGAATGGCTAAAATTCAAAGACTGACCATATGTGGTGCTGATGAGGATGTGGAGCAACTAGAACCCTCATACAAAGCTGATGGTAAAATGGCACACCACTTCGGAAAACAGCTATAAACACAGACCAGCCATTCTGCTCCTAAGTATTTACCCAACAGAAATGAAAGCATATGTCTACACAAGAACCTGTACAGAAATGTTTATAGCAGCTTTATTCATAATAGCTAAAAACTAGAAACACCCCAAATATTCATCAATAAGTTAATGGATAAATGGATACTTTTTAAACCAGTTTATAAAAACTAAATGGATAAATGAATTGCAGTACATTCATACAATGGAATACTACTCAGAAATAAAAGAAATAGACTATTGATACACGTGACAGCATGGATGAATCTCAAAATAATTATGCAGAGTGAATGAAGCCAGTAAAAAAGAGGCACACTGTATGATTCTATTTATTTAAAAAACTCTAGCAAATACAAACTATAGTGATAGAAAGCAGATCAGTGGTTGCCTGGGGACTGGGAGAGTAACCAATTACCAAGGGGTATGAGGAAACTTCTGAGGTGATGGTTATTATGTTCATTATTTGATTTTGGTGATGATTTCACAGGTGTACAGTACATATGTCAAAACTCATATTTTATACTTTACATGCATTTTATTGCATGTCAATTATATCCCAATAAAGCTGTAAAAAAAAAAAAAACTTACAGAAAAAAGTCCTCTTCTTCATCTGAATCATCTTCCAAAAGATTTCTCTGTCAAAAAAAGAAAAAGACTTGAGTTTTCAGATTCAGAGGGCTTATAAACTGTCAGGGAGGAGTAAGCAAACAAGTTCCAACCTGTTGAAATTTTTTAATTCCAAGCTCCCAGACAAGTAATTACATGTGTTTCATCGGAACCTAAAAGATATGAAACCATATTTGCAGACTTTCCAAAGAAAATGCTGATAATATGAGAATCCTATGACTAACTACAAGGTAGAAAGGTCACTGAAGCTGGTGTGGGAGGAAACACTTCAGGCAGTGAGGAAGGAGCAAGCCGCTTCTCCTTCCCCCTGCCTTCCAGTCTCTATTGGCAGCACCGAATGGGGAGCCAGGTGGCAAAGGAGAAATGTAGTTGCAGAGTCCAACTCCAGCAGCAGAGAGAAGAGTATAGAAGGTAGGTTTGGAGCTGAGAGACAAGGGCTTAATAATTGGCACAGTCCACCTTCTAGCTACTCAATCCATAAACAGCCCTCTACACATATTTGAACTTCCTAAACAAAAACAACTTTGTACTTTTACCTTATAAGATGCAACTATTTTCCTTAAAATGAAGATGGTCACATCCTCTCCCCAAAAGGGGAAGATGTAAAGTTCCAAAACGAGGCTAAAGAAGAGCAAAAACCAGACCTTTTCAGCACACAAGAACTCAAACAGTATACAACTTGTAGGCAGAATAATGGCTCCCCAAAGATTCCCACATCTTAATCCCCGAAACCTGTGAATATGTTTCCTTGCATGGTAAAAGGGACTTTGCAGATGTAATTAAGTTAAGGATCTTGATATAGGAAGATCAACATGGGTTACCTACCTGGGCCCAAGATAATCACAAAAGTTCTTAAAAGATGGAGGCAGAAATGCCCGAGAAAGAGAGAGACTAGAAGATGTTACACTGCTGGCTTTAAAGACAGATGAAGGGGCATGAGCCAAGGAGGGCAGGCAGCCTCCAGAAGCTGGGAAAGGCAAAGAAACAGGTTCTCTCCTAGAGCCTCCAGAAAGAATACAGCCCTGCCAGCATCTTGATTTTAGCCCACTAAGACCCGTTTTGGACTTCTGGTCACCAGAACAATAAGACAATAAATTCGTGTTGTTTTAAGTTTGTGGTAATTTGTTACAGCAGCAATAGGAAACAAATACACCACCCAGGTAGCTTTTCTGAGGAAATTACTCAAAGAATTACACAGCCAAAAAGAAAATTAAATCAGAACAAAGATCTTAAGACAGAGATTGATACAATCAATGAATCTAATAAAATGTGTGGTCAAATCTAAATGGATAAAGGCAATGTGATTGTGAACTATAACTTACAACTAATGAAAAGAAAAGGCATAATATAAGGAAAAACTTTACAAGGGCCTAAAACTTTCCTAACAGAACCCAGAAGCTGGGAGTGGGAGAGTGAAGTGAGGAAGTAAAAGCACAGTAACATGCTTATCTAGTGGGAAGAGGAGTGGAGGGCAGGGGAAGAGGGCTAGAACGAAAAGTAAAACAAGGGAGGGGGCACAGTTTTTGGTGTAATTGACAGAGAACACAGATTTAAACATCATTGTTAAAATATAAAGTTAATAACAAAAGAGAGAGGGGAAGAAGGAGAAAGGGAGGAAACTTTTTAACTGTCTAGTGGTGCTGGGGGTGGGGAGAAGATGAGAAAAATAATCAATCTAGCAAAAGAAGTTAGGGAAAAGAAGGAAACATAAGAAATATAATGAATATCATTATATCTATGTATAAGTATATAACACATCACAAAGAGTAAGAAAATGAAAACAAGATGTATTCAATATTCCTTTAACAAATATGTTTGAGCATCCTCTACATGCTAGGCATTGTTCTAAGTACCAAGCCCCACCTCTGAACCAGGCAGACAAGGTCTGAGCTATCTTAGAAAAACATCTGATGGTGATAAATGCTATGCAGAGAATCAAAACAGTGATGGGATAGAAAGTGACAGGGTGACTAAAAGAGATTGATTAGGTTGTCATGGAAAATTACTCTCAAGAGGTGAAATTTAAGCTGAGATCCAAATGATAACAACAAGCCAACCAAAGATCAGAGTGAAGAGCATTCACTGCCAGCTGAGGGACAGGCTAGTGCAGAAAAAGCCAAAATATATTAGTTATCATAATAGATGTGAATGGTTTGAATGCTCCTATTAAAAGCAAAAACTATATGATTCAAGTTCAAATTATTCCAGCCAATATCCGTTAACATGAAATTCACCTAAAACAAATGCCAAATAAAGCATGAAAAAAGAGGTGGAAAAGATATATCTGCAAATTCGAACAAAAAGAATGTTAGAGTTATCAATATTAACACAGAAGAACTTTAGGACAAAATCATTAAACAATCAAATAAGAAGATTTTACAGTGACAAAATGCACAATCCACCAAGAAGATTTAACAGCAATGAATGTTTATATATAACAGTATAGCTTTGACATATATAAAGCAAAAGCTGCTCAAACTAGAAGAAACAGATACATTCAAAATCAGAGGAAAGATTTACCATACCTTCAGAGATAGAGAAACCAAGAAGACAAAGAATAAATAATCTAGAACTTTGTACTCAGCAAATTTTATTTTCAAATATCCAAGAAATGGATAAGCCACAAAAGAATTTAATAAACTCCAAAAACTAGAAACAACCAGGTCACACTCTCTGGGCATAATGCAATGGAAACTAAGACAAATAACAAAAGGAAATTTTAAAACACCCTTCTAATTAACATGTTAAAATGTAAATGGAAGTTTAATAGACTATTCAGAAACGAATGACACTGGGAACATTACAGAACAAAATCTGTAGAGTATGGTCACAGTGGTATTTAAAGGAAAATGTGATCTTAAATGCATTTATTCATGAAATCACAAGGATTAAAAGTATATGAAATAAATATTTAACTTTTTTTTTTTTGTGTGAGGAAGATCAGCCCTGAGCTAACATCCATGCCAATCCTCCTCTTTTTGCTGGGGAAGACTGGCCCTGAGCTAACACCCGTGCCCATCTTCCTCCACTTTACGTGGGACGCCGCCACAGCATGGCCTGACAAGCAGTGCGTCAGTGCGTACCCAGGATCTGAACCCAGGCCGCCAGCAGTGGAGCACGTGCACTTAATGGCTACACCACGGGGCCGGCCGCAGTATTTAACTCTTAAGATGGGTAAGTTATTCCTAAGTAACATATAACCCAGAAGCTTTTAAAGAAAAATTTCATGGATTTGATTACATAAAAATTTAAAACATGAATAACGTAAGACATCATAAATAAGGTTAAATGGCAAGTAACAGATTGGGAAAATAATCTGCAACATACTTTTGCACCAAAGGTTTTGATATCTGTATTATATAAAGAGCTCTGACAAACCAGTAATAAAAAGACACATTACAGAAAAATTGTCAAGGTAGTAGAGCAGACAATTTCCAAGAGAAGACAGAATGGCCAATGACCACATGAAAAGATGTTCAAAGTCAATAATACTCAGGGAGATGCATTAATTCCTTCAACAAATATTTCTTGAATGCTATTCTAGCTAATAAGTAACAGATAATCATTACATTTCTGATACAGTTTATTTGCCTTAGAGGATGATGATACTAAACAAAAAGTGTGTTTATTATAGTTGTACAACAAGAAACACACAGGAAAACCAGTGTCTTCACACCCATTCACTGAACAAGCACAAGTGCTAAGGATACAATATCAAAAAAGGATAATGGGACACAATGAGATACCACTTCACACCCACCAGGCAGATAATAACAAGTGTCGGCAAGGAGAAATCAGATGTGAGGAAAAATTGGCAGTGAGAATAAATGTAGAGAAACTGGAACCCCCATACATTGCTGGTGGGAATGTAAAAATTGTGCAGCCACTTTGGAAAACAGGTTGGCAATTCTTCAACAGAGAAGTACTATAATACCCAGAAATTCCACTTCTAGGTATTTACCAAAGAGAAATGAAAACATGTTCACACAAAAACTTGTACTAGAATGTTCAGGTCAGTGGTATTCATAATAGCCAAAAAATGGAAATAATCCTAAATGTCCATCGACTGATGAATGGATAAATAAAATGTGGTATATCTATATAATGGAATATTATTCAGCAATAAAAAGGAATGAAGTACTGATATGTACTACAACATGGATGAACCTGGAAAACATTATGCTAAATCAAAGAAGCCAGTTACAAAAGACAACATATTGTATAATTCCACTTATATAAAATGTCCAGAATAGACAAATCTATAGATTTGTGGTTGCCTAGGGCTGAAGAGATGAGGAAAATGGGGGATGGTTGCTAAAAAGGTAGAGTTTCTTTGTGGAATGATGAAAATGTCCTAAAATTGATTGTGGTGATGGTTGCACAATTCTGTGAATATACTAAAACCCACTGATTTGTATACTTTATTTTTTTTTAATTTTTTTGGGAGGAAGATAAGCCCTGAGCTAACATCTGCCAATCCTCCTCTTTTTGCTGAGGAAGACTGGCCCTGGGCTAACATCCATGCCTGCCTTCCTCCACTTTATATGGGAGGCTGCCACAGCATGGCCTGACAAGCGGTGTGTCGGTGCACGCCCGGGACCCGAACTGGCAAACCCCGGGCCGCCACAGCGGAGCGCGTGCACTTAACCGCTTGCGCCACCGGGCCGGCCCCTGATTTGTATCCTTTAAATGAGTGAATTGTATGGCATGTGAACTATATCTCAATAAAGCTGTTACCAAAAGGAGCAGAATAGGAAAGTGAACAAAACTTTTAAGTTTTTAAAAGTAACGTATAGATTATTAGAACTAATTAGTAATCAGATTTCATAATCTAATAAAGATTCAAAAGGAGGTTTCTATTTAAAAAGCCAATTTTGTTCAATTCCAGTGTCCAATATCCTATTTTTACAATAAACTATGGCAGTAATCAACCAACGATGTAAAGAGAAAGTGCCATAATTACAGTCTCACTATTGAAACTGATTGAGACTGTATATTTCATATTTTT